ATATGCCCCTATACTGATGTCGTTGTTTTTATAATTTTATTTCCTGGTTGCAGTTGCAATTTATTCTCTTTGATCACGGTATAACTTCAGCCTTAAAAATCGCAAGAGCTGCATTACTTGAGTAGTTTATTCGAAAGCTTGTGGTCCCTCTTGCTATCTTTGTCTAGGGGAGAAGCGAGGGACTTTTATTAAGTCAAGACTTTCTGATGGCGTGACCACGGTGGGTTAAAGTAGATTTGCCTGACCAAAAATCAATATTTTGTACGTTGGAAAATTAAGTTCTGATAAAAATTTGTAGAACTTGGATTACCCGTATTTTGAAAAAGCAAGCTGGTCTTTGTCTGACTTTGGAATTTTTAAGGGTCGTTCACTTTAATTTACTGATGTTGGAGTTTACCGATTTCTCCCTGGATATAAATCTCTATAAATCAGTGTTCCTGGGCTACTCTCAAGTAGAATTCTTTTTCTCTCGCTGAATGAAAAGGCTAAACTTTGTTGTAACATTAAAAAATCGGTACATGTGTCAAATTCATGTCTAAGATATTCCCATAACTTGTGAATTCATTATCGTTCAGTGGGGTTTGCAAGGGACATTGGCAGATGTTGACAGTGTCATTTTATAATTCCATTCTAGCTTCTATTGAATGTTGGGTTTCTATTTTACGAAAAACATTAGGTAATTCTGTTCTTTTGGGGAAATTCTTGCCTAGACTCAAAAAATTGGATCGGGATGATCACAACTGTTAATTTTGTGGGACCAACATGTGGGGCCCACTTGGAACTCACAAGATCAACAGTTCTGATGGGCTCGGGTCCAGGGAAGAAATTATCGTTCTTTGGCATGCGCTGCTAAGCCAGATATTCCTAGTAAAAACAAAAATTTATTTTTTCCCTTGATTTTGATTCCTGTAGACAGAGAACTGACCACAGTTTTCAGTTGAAGAAGAGATCTCTAGATCCATGGAACATTTAGAATGGTAGAATGGGGACTTTGCATCGAGGTTTCAAGTTTGGTCCAAGGCTGGAAATGTTTAATTAGTGAACGGTGGATTATATGGAGATTTGTTCATAAGGTTAAAGTAGGGCAGTGCAGATTGGTTGGTGGACTCTTTTTGCATGCTTCATTTTCCAGGTTGAGGATTTTTTCTGAAATAGAGCGAGTAATTTTACCGGCAAACCCAAAACAATTTTCCCGCAACTTATAGCAAATTGTCTGTGATCTGCTAGCTTTTTTTTCTATGATGATTTGTGCATGAATCGGTGGAAGATGTTTCTCGAGCGAAGAAATATGTCGAGAGAATCAGGGTACTTAGCAGTCGTATTATGTACTGGTACTTTCATGGCTGTACCTTTGCATTAGGATCTATGTACTGGAGAAGGATTTGCTCAAGTCAACCATAGTACTGGCTTTTCGATTCACTTTGAGTTTGACTTTGGATTTTTCTTCACTTTTTAATAATGTTTGATTTTTTTTTTTGGGTGTTCCTGTCCTGCCAACAAATTCAAGTCAGCTGGCAATGTGATTTGGTATTTTCTCTATGCAAAAGTGCTAATTACTTTTAAAAGTTGGATTGCATGTCATGTAATCATGCCGTATGCATGTTTAATGGTTACATAAGACTCTCCGGCAAAAGTTCATCGAATATACTTTCTATAAGTTTGCTGGGAATGATGCTGACCCAATGAATAAGCTCTTTCTTAGTTAGTTTTATCCATGTAGCTTTATCCAGACATGACAGATTGCCCATGCTGTATTTGAACTTGGCATGTGTTTGTTTTTCTTTTCGTTAATATGCTTGACCTCGAGCTTGTGCTTAATTTGAACCTAAACTTGCCTTTTCATTCAGGGTGACGCTATTTACCTATTTTATGAGATGAAGAATGTAATCACGATGCAAGGTGATATAGCAGTCGCAAGAAGTGTTGATAAGGGAGCAACGTGGCAACAATTGGGTATTGCTTTGGATGAGGATTGGCACCTTTCTTATCCCTATGTTTTCAGTTATCATGGGCAGGTAAGATTTTGATTTCTTTTGATGCACGAGCACATATTTGAAGTTGTGCTTCGTCATTTTTAGTGCTGTATTGAGTTATAAATGGATTAATACATCAGCGAAGAACGTCAGTGTTTTTTATTTTTTGGTCAACTAAGAAGAAGAACGACAGTGTAATTTGAATTTGTCGCTTTTGTCCTTCCTGCAGATATACATGATGCCTGAAAGCAGTGAGAAAGGAGAGCTTCGAGTTTACCGTGCCCTCGATTTTCCATTGCAATGGAAACTTGAAAGGGTCATAATGAAAAAGCCCATGGTGGATAGCTTCGTAATAAACTACAAAGGTAAGTTTTGGCTCTTTGGCTCAGACCACAGCAGTTTTGGTTCCAAAAAGAATGGGCAGCTGGAAATCTGGTATAGCGATTCACCGCTTGGTCCCTGGAAACCACACAAGAAGAATCCTGTTTATAATACTGACAAAAGCGCGGGGGCTCGTAATGGAGGCAGGCCATTTATACACAATGGAATCCTTTATCGAGTGGGCCAAGATTGTGGAGAAACTTATGGACGACGAGTTCGAATTTTTAAGGTGGAAGTTCTCACCAAAGATGAGTTCAAAGAAGTTGAAGTCCCTCTAGGGGTAGGGGAGCCCAATAAGGGGAGAAATGCTTGGAATGGTGCTCGGTATCATCATCTTGACGCACAGCAACTCCCATCTGGCGAGTGGATTGGAGTTATGGATGGAGATCGAGTACCTTCTGGTCATTCAGTCCGTAGGTTTATTCTCGGGTGTGCTTCAGTTGCAGCAGTTGCGGCTATAGTCGTTCTAATTGGTGTGCTTCTTGGAGCTGTGAAGTGCATTGTCCCTTTGAACAGGTCCGGCCATGGCTTGGGGAAAAAGAGCAATGCATTTTTGGCGTGGGGGCGATCAAATATGCTTTCTTCAAAGCTGAGACGATTCTGCAGCCGTTTAAATAGGGTGCCCCCGTTTCTCCGAGGTTGGGTGAAAGTCAACACATGTATTGGCAGATGCGTTGTTGCTCTTATATTTGCAATTGGAGTTGTTCTAATGTGCACGGGCGTCAATTACATATACGGAGGAAATGGTGCTGAGGAAGCATACCCATGGAAGGGTCACTACTCTCAGTTCACCCTATTGACCATGACGTATGATGCTCGGATATGGAACTTGAAAATGTATGTAAAACACTATTCTAGATGTTCTTCAGTGAAGGAGATAGTTGTGGTGTGGAATAAGGGGGTACCTCCCGATCCGAGTGATTTCGATTCGGTGGTCCCTGTGAGAATCAGGGTCGAGGCGAGAAACTCACTGAATAATCGTTTTAAAACGGATCCTTTGATTAAGACCCGAGCTGTTCTGGAGCTAGATGATGATATCATGATGACATGCGATGACGTAGAACGGGGTTTCAAGGTGTGGCGGGAACATCCGGACAGGATAGTTGGTTTTTATCCTCGTCTAATTAATGGAAACCCATTGAAATACCGTGCCGAAAAGCACGCACGGAAGCATAAGGGATACAATATGATTCTGACTGGGGCGGCTTTTATTGATAGCCAAGTTGCCTTCGAGAGATACTGGAGCCCGCAAGCTAGGCTCGGGAGAGAATTAGTGGACGAGTATTTTAACTGCGAAGATGTGCTTTTGAACTACTTGTATGCAAATGCCAGTTCATCTAGGACTGTCGAGTATGTGAAGCCGGCGTGGGCCATAGACACCTCGAAATTCTCGGGTGCTGCAATTAGCCGGAACACAAAAGTTCATTACGGGATAAGGAGCAATTGCCTCACAAAGTTTTCGCAGATGTACGGGGGTTTGGCCAGGCGTAAATGGGTGTTTGACGGAAGGAAGGATGGTTGGGATGTATAGTGGAATCCGGAGCAGTGTACGAGGGGCAAAGTCGCCTTACTAACTCTTTCCCGTGAAACCGCCAATTTTCGATCTCGATAGGTACATTCTTCTCCTGCGTGTCAATACATTTCTACCCTTTTTGTTAGTGAATCTTGGTTAGTGGGGCTTTGGGTTAGCGTTGGCCGGTTGGTAATTTGTACATTAATCTTGTCGTAGAAGGTTTTATCTTTGGAATTTTTCAGATGCAGAGTTTCCCCATTTTCCTTTGGTCCGAACAATCTGGTTTGGTTTCTTCTCTCTTTTGGATAATGTATCATGCAATGGAAATGAAGAAATTAGTTGAAGAATTCTCTTTTAGCATTCCTCCAATTCTGTACTTGTCAACTTTTTTTTCGCTCTTCTTTTCGGCTTTCTGTGAGAGAGATGTTCCGACATTTGAAGTTTCTTATGTCACTGTCACGTCGACTGTGCATGGACCCATCTTCTACTAAATTGCATGGAAGATCTTGGCCAGGTGCGAGGGCTGGCCCGTGCACTATATCAAAATGCATATCATCCAAGCACTAGCGCAGGAAAAAGAAGGGTCACTCATAATAATGTCGATCAAAATAGGATTGCAATTTGCCCACATGACCATTCTAAATTTGTTCTTCCTTATCTACATCGCGATGTCGGGACGCTCTCAGTGTCTGAGCAGGTGATTTTGGATAACTCGTTGGGTGTTTGGATAAGAGCATCGATCGTCGCTATTCGATGAGCTCGTACTAAATGCGACATCTCGTACTAAATACGACATCTTATGGCTTACTTGACATATAAAATCGATAGAAAGAACTTTACCGAGATAAGCCCATATAAAGAAGTCCTAATAATTTATCTTAAGACAAGGGCATATTATAGAGCATTCTTCTCTTTGCCAACGATCATTATAGCATGATTAGCATCATAAAGTTTAGACCGAGCGAGACAATAAATGTTGGATGACGATATAGCTGACGCTAGGCGGTTTTGCCGAAGGGGCCAAAACCAGATCTTACCAAGAGCATCGTCGAAAGAACCGAAAGGTCCGGCACAATGCCGGTTGTATAACTTCTGCTCATAATTGACATGAATTAACAATGGTACAGAATTCATTACTAAAAGCAAATGCAATTCCATGAAAGCAGATATACATAATGCCCCGACAGTTCCTCTAGTTGCTCTAGCTGAAAGTCTTTAAATCTGCTAAACCAAAACATCGTCGAATCCAAAAAGTAATTGTATCTAACACGATGACATTTTCCATTACAGCCTAAGCCATAAAAAAAAAAACCCATTGCAAAATTGTAATTCATGTTTGTCAATTGTGAGGACTCTGCCAGTCTTTAAGGACGAAAAAAGGTTCAAGAGGAGGAATAATCTGAAGCTGTTACATATAGTCACATATAGAACTACAGCCCACAGGAGTAGCACGATTGCAGTCATTCTTGGCTGGCCCCTTTGAAGGCAAGAGGCTCATACCATTTAGGACCGAACCCTGCCGCTTTCCTTGCATCCTTGTTAAAAGGCGGTTTCAATGGTCCCCTGAAGTGATTCCTTACTATCTCGTGAAACTTCTGAACGACTTCAGCATCCTCCTCGTATCCCATTTCCCCTTTTCCCACCTCAATCTCTCTAATGGGCGAATTGCGCGACCTCAAACAAAGAAACTTGAACCATCTAACTCCAGCAGCACAGTGTGTGATTTCTTCGGGATAAACAACATTTTCCAGCAAATCAGCTGTTTTATCATCACCTCCGCTGCGGAAACGTGATATTGTGGTCGGCATTACATCAAGTCCTCTAGCCTGATTCCAAACCAATCTTAGCAAAAGGAAGTAAGCGTACAGAAAGTGAATGAGAACTTGAGTGTTATTAAATAAGAAACCCTGAGGAATGCGCTACAATATGGCGCAGCTAAATGCCCTTACAAGAACTTCTGAACTAATCTCAGCACAACTCCGGTTGGTGTGCCAAATTTTTAGACTAATGTGCTGAGATCCATGATTATTGCCAGTTTTCGAGAGAGTGACATATGAGTCCAGGAAAAGAAGAGGCAAAAATGATCGACATAATTTCCTAAAGAAAAGACATTTTGAGTAGGGTGAGCCCCGGATTCCAACTATCAACCCGTTTCAGACCTTGTTTATGGAAAAGTCGCACCCATAGAGATTCAAACCATGGTCTTCGATCCACTTCACTAAGAATAGTTTTTGTGTTGAAAAGGCAACTTTTATCTTTTGTACTTATAAAATTTACCGAAAAAAGAAAACTCGGCCGTGTAGGAGTGTTTGCCTTAGCCCGGAAGCCCAAAAAACCAAACAGGACAGAATGTTAGAGCCCTAGTTCGCCTAGACAACCCCCTCGATCCATTTTCATTTAACTTCGAGCGGGTCCGAACTATTGGGCTTCAATTGCTCAGACCCGGATTAGCCTAAACCAATATTTTAAAACATAAAGACAACAGAGTCTGCTCATTATCGTTCACAAAATTGACTATTTTCATCACCTACCATAACCTCACACTCTGGTAATTTTGTCATATAGCTGAAGTGCTGCAACCGAGACAGTTTATAGAGCAATTGAAAAACATAATAAACTCCAAAGCCTGATAGCAAAAGTACAATAGACTTAACAACAGAAAGAGTACTACCATCTTAGAATAAAATATAAACATGCAAACATCCTTTTCACTTCTTCCGGTGTGTATGGAAGTTCATGTATGTCTGCCACTCCGGGTGTGGAATTTGTACTAGAGTAATGGTCATTTCATTCAAACAGAAAACAAAATTTATGAGGAATGAATTCATCACTCCCAAGATATTCCATGTTATATACCAAAAGGTAGGACTTTATAAAACATAGAACCTTGATCAGCTAAATGTGGATATGCGACGTAAGTTGCTACAACTAAACAAACATTCTCTGTGCATCCATCAAGCACAGAAAAGGGGCAGGCCAGGTACTCAAAGGAAGGCAAGCCAAAAACACACCTCATGGACACAGTGTTCAACGGCTAGACGGGCCAACAGATCCTTGGAAGTAGCAGTGGCAGAGTCCCAAAGGCCATCATGGGCAGGCAATGCGCCATAAAAGGAACCCAATTCCTCCAGCCTAGATGCAAGGAGGGTAAAGTGTCGACCTTCATCTTGGGCCACTTTCACGAAATCGGTGAAGAACTCTCTTGGCATTGACTCTTGCTTACCAAAGCAAGCAATTATATCCTTTAGGAATGAAACTAAAGTTAGTACAGCCATCCAAGGTCAAAAGTAAAATAAAGGTCCATTTTTCGGAGGTTGTTACATAACTGAGGTACTTTTGACTTTTACCTCGAGCATCAAATGATTCCTAGAAAAAGGTTCCCTAGTGCAGTGGGTACCAATATGAGAAATATGATGAACTCCATAAATCATGAACTTGACCGAAGTTACTTAGGCAAAGAACAACACTTCCAAAGAAGACAGTGATTACACTGCCAAAAGAAGGAAATCATTTGGCAGCTCACTGACTTACTAGGAAAATCAGGCTTCTTCTTCTGGAAAGAAACTCTACAACTAATTTCCTTCCCTTACCCATTGAATCGAATCAATCCAGTCCCGACTCCACGATTTCTCTCGGGAAGAACGTGTCGCAGATTATCCTCGAACTTTGCAACTAAGGCAAGCCTACTTATTGACCCATGACCCTTGACTAGCCCATCACTCACCTCATAGTTGCCAAGTTCTCATGTGGCGGTATAACGCTAAGCAAGAGCGAGGTCCCTTAAATCTAATGTAGATGCCAAGGCAGTTTTCATTTCTTTAATGGTAAAAAAAAAAAAAAACAGGTGGTAAAACGAGTGTCTGAACAGGAAAAGGAAAAAAGAAGACATATACCCAGGACAAGTCAATAGCCCAGCTCTCGGTGTGCGCCATACTGTGCACGATGGCCTGCCTGCTCTGCAAGCTGCCCGCTTTCCCGAGCTTGGGCATGAGCCCGGGCGACACAAGCTTAACCTGCACATCACCCACGTACGAAGCCCGTACCTGGCTCAGAAATTTCATCAAACTGATAGCACGCAACGCACCCACCAAAAAAAAAAAAGAAAAAACTGGTGCCTGAGCAGAAATCGAGAGCGATTACATCGGCGAGCCTGGCGGGTCGGTCCGGCACGGTGAGGTGGGCGGAAGGGTCGTAGGGTCGGGGGATGGCGCCGTGGAGCCACCGGGTGGCGACCGAGTCGCCGAGCCGGGCCTTGTCGAAGGGGTCGGGCGTGCTCAGGACCCTCATCGCGGCCTCCACTAGGGTCTCTGCTGCTGCTGCTTCTTCTTCCTCTGGCCTCATCGTGTCCCGTCTCAATGTCTGCTCGTTACTCTCCGTGTCTACGATACACGAGACACTCAAAACGGAGTACGACAATAAAGCACAAACTGTCGTAAGCACGCACACGCTCTCATCCCGTAATAACAAATCCGTCTCGGCATCGAAACGGAACGGACGGCGGCCGATCACCGAATCTCCCCGATAACGGCGGTGCGCTCCCCCTCTCCTCTCCTCTCCAGCTTATCCAACTTTCAACAATTACACAATTGGGTGTCTGGATTTTTCTCTTTTGCAATTAGATCCTTTCATTCTATGCTCTCACATTGACGGTTTGTTCTTCTCGTTCAAGGCTTGGGTTGGGATTTACCACATTTGCGTTTCCGACGAGAATTTAGTCAGGCGTGTTCGAAGAGTTTCGGACTCTCTGTTATCTCAAAATATATTAAAAGGAACCAATGCATCTACATGGATATGTAAAAACAATGTCTTCTCTGGGGGGATTCTTCTAAGATCGAGAATAGGACTGTTATTTTAGAAGATATTGATCATTCTCTTTGCAAGGAGTGCTTTTCTTGCATTCTCCACTCGTTTTTGCTTTCAAGTAGGATTTGTACTTTTATCTCATTCAGGCATAATTATAAAAAAAAAAAGTTTGTAAGCTTAACGAACGCTGATTCAGTTTTAAACCTTTCAACTTGATCAATTTAATTTTAAATTTTTTGACAATTTGCCTACCTAATCCTTCCGGCAAATTTTGATCGGAAATCATTCACGTGGACGCTAGACTTCTTACGTGGCACGGCCGGTGCCGGCGTGGATAATTTTTGTAATTTTTAATTAATTTTCTGAGCTTTTTTTTTTCTTATTTCCATTTTTCATTTTTTTCCTTTATTTTTTTTCAAAATCCGCCGAAATCAGAAAGAGAAGAAGAGTGAAAACAGAAAAAAAGAAAAAAAATTTAAAAATTTTCAAAATTTATCCACTCGATATCATTCACGCAACATAGGACAGCATGCCGTGTAGGATAGCCGGCGTCCATGTCAGCGATTGCCGATCAAAATTGATTTAGAAAATTATATTGGCAAATCGTCAAAAGGTTTATGACTTTTTTTTGTGTGGTTATTTTCCCAATAATCACGCCGCAAGAAAAAGCGTTAAAAAGATCACTTCGTTCGTGCTCAGTCAAAATTAGAGGTGTCAAAATGGGTCTTAAACCCATATATGACCCATTTAAAAATAAATGGGTCATATATGGGTCACTTAATTTTAAAGAGTCAATCTTAAATGGGTTTTAAATTTTAAAGCTTAAAGATAAATGGGTCTAAATGGGTTGAGTTTGGAACCCATGTCTAACCCACCCACTAGACCCATCCACACACTCTCTTCCTCTTTATAAAGATGTTCAAAAAAAATCGAAATTTAATTATTTTTATTTTTTCTCTTTTTCTTTTATTTTTTCGTTTTTCTTCTTTCTTTTTCTTTTTTTTTATTCCGGCCGGTGGTCGGCCACGGCGACCGGCCACCGGGGTGGGACGACCTCGCCGATCTGGCGAGCCTCGAGCTCGCCCGATTCCGGCGACCTCGAGGCTCGCCCGATCCCAGCGAGGCTCCAGCCTCGCCGATCTGGCGAGACTCGAGCTCGCCGGCCTCGGGCGAGCTCTACCTCGTGGGATCTGGCGAGGTGGAGCCTCGGCCGAGGCCGGCGAGGCTCGAGCCTCGCCGGCCTCGGCCGAGGCTCCACCTCGCCAGATCCGGCGAGGTAGAGCTCGCCCGCGAGGTAGAGCTCGCCCGAGGCCGGCGAGCTCGAGTCTCGCCAGACCGGCGAGGCTGGAGCCTCGCCAGATCGGCGAGAACGAGCTTCGCCGGCCTCCGGCTAGCTCGTCCTCGCCTGTGGTCGGTCGCCGGCCACGGCGGCCGGCGATCGGCCAAAAATAAAGGAAAAAAATAAAAATAAAAAATAATTAAAAAATCGATTTAAAAAATAAAAAAAAGTATTAAATTTTTTTTTATTTTCTTGGATAGTGACTTTATGAAAAATATTTTCTAGAAATGTCGCGTTTTTCGTAAAACAAACAGAACCTCAATTTTAAAAAAAATCATAAAATTTTTTCACTAGCTTTGTATTGCATAAAATGTTTTAGCAGTATAATTTAAAAAAAAAATCATAAAAAACAAGTATTCCTAAATTAGGTTAAATATAAAAGTGTTTTAGCAATATGGGTCGGGTCGGGTATGGGTTGGGTATGGATTGAGATATTTACACTATGAATAAATGAGTCATAAACGGGTTAATGGGTCAATTTGGGTCGGATCATTTATGACCCGACCCAAACCCGAGCCGACCCACCCGTTTAACCCGTTTAACAGGTCTAGTCAAAATAGAAGGACGAAATAGAACAAAACGTATCCGAGTAAGGGCAAAAGTATAAAACACCATTTTTTTTGCACTCGAGCCCCTATACTCTTTCCTCCTTCGCTTCATCACGCTCTCCGTTCTCCGCCTCGCTCGATCTATATCGAAGAAGATGACGAGACAGAGGTGAGCAGTTCTCCTCCTCCTCTGAATTTCGTTCGGGGAAAACGCCGACATGAGCCAAGCGGTGATTCCAAGGCCCGACTCGACTCACCATCGCCTCCACGAGTTCGCTCGGAACGCTCTCATCAACATCTTCGTCCATCCCTACGCCACGGTACCGTCCCATCTTTGCGCCCGCGCACGCTGTCGAATCGGCCCTCCGCATGGAGGCCTTGCCGCGCGCTTCTTCCGAAATTTGACATGCCCTCTTGCTCGTTTTCCTCTTTTCGTGATGGCGCTTCAAAGGTGTGCGAGCTGTATTGCGGGGGCGGGCTCGAGGCGGAGAGGTGGGAAGAAGCTCAGATCGGTCACTACATCGGAATCGGTAATCGTCCGTGCTCGGTTCGGTCTCTTATCGCGGGGAGGTTGCCTTGCAATGGTACGTCTCGTTGAGTGATTTTGAATTTTGCAGATGTGGCTTCGTCTGGAATAAGCGAAAAGAGAGAAGCTTGGGAGAGCTTGAGGAAAGCTTACACAACGGACTTCTACGAGCTCGACCCTTGCACGGTGAGCTTACCTCCTACGCCGGCTTTTCTCGTCAACTAGCTTTATGGGTCGATGGGGGGTTTCGTTGTGCGGAAGAGAGCACTGTGTCATAACCATCATTTGGGTGTATCCCTCTATCATAATCTTGCGGTGGCATGTTTGCGTGTTATCGCTGATTTTGTCGGGCTGGTATCTGTTTTGGTAGGAAGATTTGGAAGCGCATTTGCAAGAGAAGACAAACCAAGCAGATTTAGTTTGCTGCTTGCAGCATTTGCAGGTTGAAAAGTTACCTTCAGCACCTTTCAGTTAAATGCTGGCTTGGGTTATGTTCTGATTTCTAGCCTTTCTCTGTTTTTATGTGGAATAAATGGTCAAGTAAATATTGCTCTTGCAGCTATGTTTTGAGACCGAGGACAAAGCGAGGAAACTGTTGCATAATGTATCATCTCTGCTAAAACCGGGGGGTTATTTTTTCGGTATTACTCCTGACTCGTCCACCATATGGTATGACATAACGGTTGTTGGAGATTCTTGTTTTGAGTTGCTTCCTGCACCCGCTTTACTTTGGGTCATTTCTTTAATCCCACCGTAGCATTGTTTTATGTTCTTTCCATTAATAATGGTACTTTGTGTTACTTGTTCACATTTAACGTCGAGATTTTTATTAGGTGGTTTCGTTGGCTAGATTCGTTCTTTCCCAAAAAATGTCATTTGTTAAATATAGTTGAAGAAGTAAATTATTATGCTGTATTAATATTCTCACGTAGATTTTGTGTAACATCTGGCTAACATAGTAGGGGGAAATTTCTTCCTATCGATAAGTAAGATGCTCATTATACGGGCCTTTAGATTTATAGATATATGCCCCTTCTTTTTTTGGTTGTTGATCTTTTTCCCTTATTCACTGAACTTCTACAAAAGTTGCTTATGATAATCGAACTGTGCTCGAGTGCCAAATTGGAAAGCTACTTTGGTTGACTAAAGATTTTGTATTTAAGTGGGTCTAAGCCTTCTTGGATATCTACTCATCGGAGAATTGTTTGATGCATTCATTAGTGCACGGCAACCTTCTTATAGACTATTTGACCATTTGCCAAGATCGTAAGTAGAGCTCTGCAGCTTTCTAGCCAAGCGGGGTAAAAAAAAACAAAATTAGAGCTCTGCCGCTTCTCTTCTGTATCAGTGCCTTGCACAGCTACACCATTCTGCCTCATCTCTTTGTTCACTTAAAAAGGTCTTCAGGAACATAGTTGCTTCTTTCAGGAGGACTTCATGTTTGCCTCTGTGTTTACCATCATTCCGTGAGATTAAGAATTCTTAAATTCTTATCCACATTGTAACAAGTTCACCTCAGCTCCCGGATAAAACCAGAACGTTTTAGAAGGAAACCCGTACATATGCTTCTTGCTACTGTTATCTAGTTGATGGAGATGAATTATCCTTCTCATTTTGCAGTATTGTGTTGTCACAGTTTCATCTAAATCATGATATGTCGAATGGTCCGAGACTTCAGAGTTCATGCATATTAAAGTTTGAGATTTTTCAACCAAAAAAAAGTTTGAGATTTATCTGGTAGACTAGGCAATGATTTCCTTATAATATATTATCTTCACTGCCACTTTGAGCGCCAGGCTCTTATCTCGAAGTGACATTCTTGTCAGCTGATATAACCAATACGAAAAATGCTGCATCATAGTTCTCTGTACAACCACAAGAGGATTTGGTGCCTTTTTTGATTTTCCCCATCAGAATATATTGCATGTGAAATGTAAGCGAACTATACAGGGCAAAATATCAGAAGAATGTTGAAGCATACCACAACAGAAGTGGCAGTATGAAGCCTGGCATTGTTCCTAATTGTGTTCGGTCTGAGAGCTACATGATCACCTTTGAAGTAGAGGAAGAGAAGTATGTACGAGTCTCTAATGGTTGCCATTTTGATTATTACATGCCGTTGAACTTATACTGGGATGATTTGATGTACTGCCTGTTTCCAGGTTTCCATCATTTGGGAAAAGGTACCAGCTTAAACTAGCTGGTGATATGCCTGCTGAAACCCATTGCTTGGTTCACTTTCCAAGCTTGATCAGGTAAAGATAATTGGCGATGTTTTGAGGTTCTCTATTCTATCTTCAGGACATCACAGGAGACTTCTGATCTTTTGGACATTCTAAATGTGCATTAAGTTGCAACCATTTGGTTTCAGTTGGAATGAGGTGCTTATAAATAGACTACTACTGACTTTCGGCCATCCTAAGTGCTTACGTGATGATGATGTTAAAAAAAGCTTCTCTTTCTAATTTTTAGTTTGAATAATTGTAGCTGACATTTGTGCGATTTTGTTGATTGTTGGTAAGAATCTATGGAAGTTTCTAATGCATTCTCATCAGATTGGCTAGGGAAGCTGGTCTGGAGTATGTGGAGATTCAAAACCTGACAGAGTTTTACGATGACAACAAGTATGACCACTTTGTGATTATCTGGGAGAAGAAATGTTCTGATTTCTTGAGCAGTCGCTTTTGTATCAATCCTGATATTCTGGTGTTTTACACGTGGCCACAAGAGCAATCTTTGCAGGGATGCTAATGGGTTATGGTGCAAGCGTTGTGGATCCTAGAGGGAGGCTATTACCTCGCTCATACGACATGCTAGGTGAACTGCAATCTCTATTCATCATAGTGCCAATTCCATTCATCGATTCGCGTTATTTATTTATTTATTTGGGCTACGAAGTTCACAGAAAACAAACCCTAACAAATCAGACTCTGAGATGGCTAATAGGGCTCTTATTATTGTGCGCATTCATTTCATATATGACAATTTGCAATTTGTAGATACTGTTGATCAAGTATTACATATTTTTGGGACTGACCATGCATATATTCCCTTGCTACTTGAGCTATGTGAGGATACACAAGGTATATCCATACCTAAACACACACACAACTTTTAAGCAATGGTAAGATATTGGCATATCATGGATGGCTCTAACCTGCCAGGATGCCTAGCAATTTTGCATGTCTCAACCCCATGTTTGTATTTTCAACAATAAGAGCTAGATGCTGGGTCCAGAGTAGAACCTTAGGATATGGAAATTGTACTTCTGAGTAGAATTACTTGCTCTCTTCTGTTGATCGAAACAACAGCGGGGTCAGCAATACCCATAGTTGTTAAGAGTTTTTGTTTGTAGCTGTGTTATTTGATGTCCAACAGAGTCTTCTAGGTTCAAGTGATTCAGCAAAGTGATGATTTGCATAAGACAGATATTGGACTGAGCACAAATGCATTTAATAAGTTAGAGTGCATTTCCTTTCTGCAGGTTTATACACTACGTTTATCTTTCAGAAGCCCGACCCAGATGCTGCGCCCCCTCTTACAACCCCATTATTGGTGGATAGGAATCACCACGAAGAGGAGGCAAGTTTTTTAATTCTATGTAAGAATATCTAACTCAAGCTATCAAGGGGGACCAGTCCTTATGCAAGGACTGCAATTGCTTGAAAAATAAAAGGAAAAGAAAATATGCCTCACTTAGCTGCATTGCAAAAGTAACACATGGTTCATTTTTTTGGCTCTGTCCTGGAGGTAATTTACCACGGAACACTTTCTCATTTTGCTTCGTAAGAAACTATGACTACTGTTGAGACCCTAGTGTACTACTGAGGAAAAAACTTCAAGCTCTCAAACTAGATGAAGGTAGAGAAGACACCATCTTTGCCATCTTCCACCTAGCCCAACAGTCATCTTGGTGCGTGAGCTGTACAATGTAACTCAGCAACAAATGATCCAAATTTGGACTTCCCATTACCAGCCATTCTCATGAACTTGTTTTTGTTTTACTCCTTGACCTTATAAGGGGATCAAGAATTGATTATGCTATTTTACTGACGGATGCCGTGCACAAGTCATTTTCGGAGCTTATCTTGAGCACCTGCGTGACACTGAAAAGACAAACTCCTGAATAGAAGACCTTAGAAAGTTTGCCGTGATTTTCTGATCCATATTCGTACGCCATTTACGCTTGTGAGTACTAATTTTGGCCATCACCACCAACAGCCGAATGTCATTTCTCTCTGGGGGGTGGGGTTGGTGTTTTTATGATTTACAAGCTCCACCAAAACAAAGCACAACTTAGGTTCTTTCATCCTATTTTTTCCGATCTATCTTTTGATGAGTGGCATCAATGAGTGCTGTCAGCTTGAGGAGTGTGAAAACAGAATCTGGGTACATGAACTTATCTTCTGTTCCAGTAACACGTGAATTCACGGTTCTGTTGCATGGTTTTGCTTTGATGTTGCAGAGAGAGTGGACTGACTGGAGAGAGGAAGAAACCATTGTTCCTCCAGAGCCGCCTGCTGGACTCGGCAAGATAACAGAACAAAAAGGAATATTAGGTCCAGGCCCTGCAGAGTTACGTTTTGCAGAAGCACTTTAACCCGATGGACTGTGGAGGGAAAAGTTAATGTCCAAAGTAGTCGCTTGTAAATACAACTTACCAAATTTTAGTGACTTTCTCGTGTACCCTTAATGTGATTAATTGCTAGTTAGGCTTCGATCCGGTTGCACAGTGCTGATGTAAGATAAACACGTTTTTGTGACCCAAAGGAGATAAGTTTTTAATCTTCTGGATTTGACCGATCAAATTTCAGTCAGGCATCAGCTTCTACTGTATGTTTATGAAGTTATTCATACCTTGTTTCACTGGAAGCTAAAACAAAAGATGGTTTGCGTTAAACCAGCAAGTGCGCATGCTTTCTGCAGGATTTTGGGCTGTCTCTCTCTTGTCGGGTGGAAGACATCATGTTAATCTGGAGAATTACTCATGTGATATACAGACTCGCCCTATTCCCCTTACTTTCTCGTTTGCATCAATAGCTCTAGCAGGCCACGGCAATGATGAGCCCAGGGTTGCGAGTTGCACGATTAGGATATCAATTCAATCCTATGGTTTGAGTATGAAGAGAGGGCACTCTAGATTCTACTCCAGATGCAGTACATTGGGAGATGGAGATGGAAGGAGCATGGAACGAATTCACATCAAAGCTCGTGGATAATTCCACATGGATGATGATGACCAATTCAAGCAAACGACATTTTGCTGATCGTAGGGGGACAATAGTGTTAAAGAGATCGTGAATGTCGAAGGTGGTAAGAGAGATTAAGGACACAAGTCATATCATAATTATTAGCTCACAAAGCATGGGCTTGCAGATAAGCCACGATCCAGTTATCGGTACTATATGCCACAAAATGTGTTCCTCTCTCTCTCTACACGTAACATTAGATAACACAAAAAGCTCGAAAGGAGCAGTGGAAAAAGATTTGAGTTAAGAAAAGGGGGCGATCCTAATCGTCAAGCTCAATGATCTTGACCACAGAGGCATCGCCTACTTTTTGGCAGACAACTACACGATCATGAGCCTTTACAAGACCTGATGCCTTCCCATAGTCCAGAGCCACCTTCAAAACTGATTCATTCGTCGCATCTGTAGACTCGGCCTACAGAAAGATGGAAATGTTATAGGCTACATTTTGTAGACAGTTCGACTGCGTATCAAACGCATGCAATCTTTTACGCAGCTAGACAAATGAGAAAAGGATCCGGAGTTGTGCTATAACACAGTTTAATAGTCTTTTGAAGCAGGAGCTACTAAACCGGCAAAGGACTTGGAAACTTACAGGATGTCGAGGATCGGCGAGCATGGGAAATAGGCCTCGGACAACAAGAGATTGCCTTGCCTGCACAACAAAATTTTAAAGAAAATTGCAAAGAAATGAACATTAAGTTTCGTACAAACAAAACGTTGGATAAGAAATGAAGATGCCTAACGAGTAAGAATACATTTTAAAACAGTGTCTTCTGTTGCTCGCAAAAGCGACAAGTTTGAGAATTAGTGCCTCTGTTTTAAAGCACATCCGTCTCCCTGACGTTCTTATTTGGCACATCGCCATGGGAAAAATTTACGAGGATGACTAGAGAAACTGACGTTTGCAACAACTTAAAGGCAAACAAATACAGCTAAAACCATCCTCCATTTGCAAAATTTTGTAGAGTGAGTCAACAATAATATTCACGAGACTAATAGGGGAAGAGACAAGAAGCGCAGTGTCTGGTTGCTTTCAGTTGTATGGATGACCACATAACAAATTTTAGGGAAACAGATCTTTGATAATGCAGGCTCATAAATCGAGTTAGAGACTGTGGTCCCCACCTCGAAGGCACCGCTAAAAGTCCATCGCAGTTGATTGGTCTTGAGCCGAGGAACGACCACAGAGATCACTGGCATTGTGGGCCTATACTTTGCAAGTAGCCTAAAAAACATCAAAAGAAAAAAAGAGCTCGTAAGTTTCAGAAGGAAAATCTCATGGACCTGAAGCTGCTGTCCATTACAAGAATGACAGAAGGACATCTAGACAGGACTAGGAAATTGCTACAAGCACACATAAGTTAATAAATGTGCAAAAAATTTAACCTCGCAGCTCTTCCTGAAGAAGTGAAGCATATAATTACTGAGGCCTTCACTTTGATGGCAGCACGCACCTACATCACATGAGGAATATACTCAGATAGTTCATGCATCGTATAAACTACTTCAAGAACAATCCCTCGTAAGTAGTCAAATATGGGAGAGCTCTTAGAAATTGATAGGCAAAAGAATAAAACAAAAGATGTTATACTAGCAGGACGTACAGCAGAGGAAGCAATGGATTCTAAGTGGCTCATTGGCTCTCCCACATATTTGACAGTCTTCTTGAAATACATATCTTGATTGAAGACTTTCTCTGCCTACAGCATCAAACAGACAAAGTGAAGAAACCATGTCAATAGTTCTGGCAAGTACAAGTGGCCTAGGTTTGGTAGCATGATAGAGGTGGTGTGGTGATTGGCCCCAAGATTATTCCCAAGGTTAAATGCATGAACAAGGCTTGGAATATTCGAACTTAAAAAAAACAAGGCTTGGGATAAAACAATATAATGAGGATTTTCGCCTTTAATACCCCATGTAGAGCCATTATACCATCCATTTACTTAAGAACTTAAGAAAGTAACTAAATCAATGCATCTGAATATGCTTAGCGGTTTTTATCGATGGCTATACCATCAGTATGATATGCACACTTGGGGCCTCAGAACATTGCATACTCCAACTTTTGTTCCACTCAGTCATCCATGAATCATCAGGGTTGACCTGAAAGTTCACTTCATAGGGTGGCTAGGATTTGCACACCAAAAAAAATTCCATTGGTGAAACATTACAAATTTCTTTGCTTTAACCGATTCGCAAAACTTCTACATATCAATTTTCCGAATTACCTCAGAAGCATAGATAGTTATTATAGGTTGGATAAGTTGATATTACTCTGGTATTCCAACCGAGAACTATACTAAAAGAGAGAAGAAGAGTGTTTGAATAGTTTTGGATGACATTCCCATGCAAATAATCAACTTCACTGTTCCCCTCGAATGGGTAACTGACCTCAGCACAGATCTTTCCGACAATTGAAATGGTCTCGACAGGGTATAATCCTCGCAGTGTCTCCGCACCAAGAAGAATAGCATCACTTCCTGAAGCAACAAACAATCAGAGAACATAAGAGTGACAATATATGCATGGTACAACTAATGCTGTACATTTTTACTTACATGGAAGAACAAAGGAGGAAGAGAAGCCACAACCATACAAATGTTCAAAAAGTTTGGTGAAGTGATAAAAATCTGGCAGCAGTTCCTAGATGCAGTGATCCTGAATCAGAAACCAGAAATTACCATCCAAAATGGCATTGGCAACATCAGTCGCTTCTGCACGGGTAGGCCTCAGGTTATCAGTCATGCTGTCAACAACACGAGTGACGACCGCCGGCTTCCCAGCCATGTTACACTTGTAAACAGCGGCCTTCTGAAAGAGAAATACCTGGATCAATGTGAAAACCGTTAGTAGATTTATGGACAATGAGCATTAGAAAGAAACCATTATTCAATTCCATGAATAATCCAAGTGCGCCAAAAGAGGAAGTGTAATCACCTTCTCTGGCGGTAGATCAATCCCCAAATTTCCACGAGATATTATGATGCCATCAGCTTCTTGGAGGATCTCATCAAAGTGATTTATACCCTATGTTATCGGTTGAAATCAAGTTATGCACAATCAGACAAACAAATATTCTGCAAAATCCCTATTGGGCCAGGTCATTTCTGACGAAAAGGAGAAGTTACTAAGTTACTCACCTCAACGTTCTCTATCTTAGCAAAAATCTGAGTCTGATGGAGCTCACCCAATTTAGACAGGAACTTACGAGCCTGCAGGACAACATCAGAAACCAAGTTAGTTTGAGATTAACATAGGTATATGATGACATTGGTGGAAAATAAACAAAGAACAAATCCCAAACCAGTATGATAAGTACATCGAACAGTAAATAATTTCATCAATGATAAGGTTGACAGAAATGAAGTCTGTCTAGATCAGCTTCCAAGTAGAAGAGTCCTTACATGACGAATATCTTCAGCATCTCGAGTATATGAAAGCGAGAGAAAGTCTATGTTGTTCCGGACACCCCATGTGCTAATGACCTGAAATTTTTCAATGAGAAACCAGCAGAGCAATTTCACAAGACACCATAAGCGCAATCCCGTGAAGATATCCACTTGGTTGGCCCTAAATAAAGCATCAGGTTAAACTACACCTTTCCTGAATTTGGGGCAGCCAGAGATGGGCGTAGGATGGAGGAGAGTAATATGAAATTCACAAATAGACAGATAAATAACATGAAGTAGAAACGATAAATCCTGACTTATGTGAGAATGGCCGCTGACATGCACATCTCTCTTTAAGAGACATGAGGAAGAGAAATGCAACATTGAAACTATGTACATAAGCATGGGATGATTGCCAGAGAAGTTAAACAAAAGCAGAAAGCAATTGCCAATTTCCCTAAAATGCATGACAAGTACTGATTACCATATATTGTTCTCCAAAAATTCATTTTGCTCCAAGTAGTGTTAGCAGTACACTCAAATGATGACATTGATCTTCTAAGTTGAACAAAAACAATTTACCTCCTTATCGTTATCAGCAAGTGTAGGCAGATCTATGCGAATTTGAGAGACATGGAGAGTGTATAGAGACTCTGCCAACACGGCAGAGTTCTTTACGAGGCAAACCACATCTTCACCATTGACATCTGTGACCTGTGGGGTAAGATAAAATATTTTACTGCAATAATAGCAGCTAAATTAGTTAAGGCAAGATAAACAGCGAGGTCTGGGAAAAAGGTAATGTGAGACCCCCAATCGTTAAGTAAGTCATAACATATCAATGAACTGGGAAAATGGAATTATTTTTAGCCACAAGAAAGCACTACACTCAACCACCACTTTACCTCCAACCACACAGAAGTAGTTTCACTTCCTGTGAATAGATACTGGCCAATAAATATAGTGTCTCCCTTCTTCACTGCCTGAAATGATCAAGTTCAGTTTAGCATGGTGATAGCAAATAAAAGCACCTTTGCCAGAAGTCAACAGTAGATATAATGAGAAAATCAGGGTGTATCATGTTTATTGATGGATATAGCAGTAGGCTCTCTTTATTCAATGGGATGAAAGCACTCAATGTGGTAAAAT